GAGAGAGAGAGAGAGAGAGAGAGAGAGAGTTGCAAACCGGCATGAAACTCCGACTAACACGCCAGTGTAGGAATTCGAGGGCCGCGCCAAGCAAATCAAGAGCTTCGTTCCAGGCTCCAACTTCGACGACAACGGCCACGGCACGCACTGCGCCGGCACCATTGGCTCGGCCACGTACGGCGTAGCCAAAAAGGCCACCATGTTTGGCGTCAAGGTGATCAATAGCGAGGGCCGGTTCTGGTACTCGGACCTCATCGCGGCCTACGACTTCATCGAAAAGGACGCGGCCTCGCGCAACTGCCCCAATGGCTTCGTCGTCAGCGGCTCCCTGGGCGGCGACTTTTCGCAGTCGCTCAACGACGCGGCCAGCGGCATGGTCGACGCCGGCTTCTTCATGGCCGTCGCCGCCGGCAACGACAACCGCAACGCAAAGGACGCCTCCCCGGCCTCGGCCCCCAAGGTCTGCACCGTCGGCGGCACCCAGTCCGACGACCGCCGCTACAGCAGCTCCAACTGGGGCCCGCTCGTCGACATCAACGGCCCGGCCGTCAACGTCCTCTCCACCCTCCCCAACGGCAGGACCGCCGCGTACACCGGCACCTCCATGGCGACGCCGCACATTGCTGGTCTTGCTGCCTACCTGGCCTCCAAGAACGGCGTCAAGGTCACCCCTGCCATGTGCAAGACCATTGTCGACCTGTCCACCAAGAATGCGGTGACCAACCAGGTAGCCAACACGGTGACCAACATTGCCAACAATGGCAACAACCTTAATTAAGCTACGAATAAGGAAAAGCAAGATGGTATATAATAGTTTCAAAAAGAATGTACATAGCATATAGTGGGCAGATTGACTTTCACCTCGTACATATTTGAGTGCAAATTTATGATTTTTTTCCCCTTCACACTCACTGCTGAACGTGTTGACGAAGGGTTCACCCCCAAGATCCTGAAAGAAAGCTGCCCTCGCGTTAAGGAGCCATATTTAACAGCAATCTTATTACACATACATATGTACTTGTTGTTCTTCTCGTGTCGCCCCCAGGCATTTCCTCCTCGGACAGGATGCCCTACTGGAACTCATACTCCAGCCACTTTCCATCCTGCTCACCACTCTGGATCATCTTTTCAATAAACTCCAGATCCGCCAGCGCCTCCCGCGGGCTCTGCGCCGGATCCGGCTTCCCATCGCGGATCCCGGCCGCCCACGCCGCCACCTCCTCCCCGACACCGCTCGTCCTCTCAAACTCCTTCCTCACCGGCTCGCCGCCGTCCACCACCACCGTCACCGTCCCATCGCACACACGAACGCTGCCCCGTTCATACGCCACGTCAAATTCGTACGCCTCAATGGTCGAGCCCACCGTGTGCTGGTACGTGCCCGTCGCGCCGCCGCTCGTCGTCACCAGCGCCGCCAC